CTGGAGAAAAAGCCCACTGATACTGAGGGGTGTCTGTATAGCTATTTTTACTGTCTCTGGGCTTGCTATGGTGCAGGTAGGTGTCCATGGATAAGGCCTATGTGTGGGAGAGCAGATCACCAGCCTGTGGGGCTCCTGGGAGGAAGCAGAACTTCTAGGAAGAGTGGTGGAGTGGAAAGGGGCAGAGTGGGAATGGAGTGGCTCTGCTTCTTCTCTCTTCCCTTCCCCATCAGCAGGAGATGAGCAGCTGGCTCCCCCATGTGCTCCTCTGTGACTTGAGCTGCTCTAGTCCAAAGCAACAGGACCAAGTGGCCATGGGCTGAAACCATGAACCATGAACTTTTCCTCCTTATACAATGTTTTGACTCAGCTATTTTGTCATAGTCACACAAAGCTGACTAACACAAAGAAAAGAAAGCATTTTAGTAGAAGGTCAAAGTTTCCAAGGTGGACATCAGACAATTCATGCCAAGAATAGAAGACACTCCATTTCCTGTGAACATTTTTCTTTCTTTTTTTTAGTGCAGCTCCTGGGGCTTAAACTCAGGGCCATGGTGCTGTCCCTGAGCTTCTTTTGCTCAAGGCTAGAGCTCTACTACTTGAGCCACAATGCCATGTCTAGCTTTTTTGTGGTAGTTTTAGTGGAGATAAAGAGTCTCACAGACTTTCCTGCTGGATTGGCTTCAAATTGGGATCCTCAGATCCCAGCCTCCAGAATAGCTAGGATTACAGGTGTGAGCCACTGGCAGGTGCCTGGCTTACAAGGCTATTTTCATTTTCCCAACTGCTCTCACCCACTCATCTAGAACTTAATCCTCATGTTTCACGGTTTCAAGTCACCACATAGCCCTACGCTTTGCACAAATCATTCCTGTTACCTGGGCACCTACTGAGCCACAAGCATATCATCTCATGGCTATCCTGACAATCATGTGCACTGGCTGTGTCCTTTAGCCATCAGAAATGAGAGTAAGAACCAGATCTTGGGGATGACACAGAATCATCAGTCTGAGGTCACTCTCTTCAAGGTCAGAATCAGAAATAGCCAACCAGATCTCCAATTGCAATGGCTGGGCAAAGTCTTCATTGCTGGAATCATCTTTAAACTTGGCAGGTGTCCACCACAGGAGGTACTAAGTGATTTACCACAATCCAGAGACTCATTAATGTCTTGTGTCCCAGTACTCACAACTCTCAGTCTCCGCATATTATCCAATGGATGTGGACTGCTGTACTCAGTACACATAAGGATAAATAGAGTCTGAGGTCCCCCTCTATAGCCTCTATAGCCATACACTGAGGCATCTTAGCTCCCAAAGATGGTCCTACTTCCTCAGTGCTGATCAGGGAGAGATTCATCTTCTTCTCTACTTCTCCATCTCCAAACAGGGCTGTGGAATAGTTCATTCTTTCTGCAAAGCTTTTCAACAGTCAGTCAGAAGCAACAAGCAAGGAGAAAGCCTACTGCATTGTTTCCAGGTGAATTCCAGAGAAGACCTTTAAATTCATTTTGGTTTCTAGCACATTATTATGTGTTTTTGTCTACCTTATTTATGTTTAATCTTCTTATCCCAGTTCATTATTGCTTGCCACAAGCAAGTTTTGGTAGCTATCCAATTAAAAAAATTCCTGATGGATTAAAACAAAAGAGTTTACACTTCGAAGTAACATGGTTCCAGAAAATATACATCACTGTCATGCTTCACTAAAAAAATGAGGATTTTTAGCCATGGTCATTTTTTTTTGGTACCAGTCCTGAGGCTTGAACTTAGGGTCAAGGCACTGTCTCTGAGCTTTTTTTGCTCAAGGATAGCACTCTGCCACTTAAGCCCCAGCTCTACTTCCAGCTTTTTGGTGGCTAATTGGAGATAAGACTTTCCTTCCTGGGCTGGCTTCAAGCTGTGATCCTCTAAACCTTAGCCTCCTGAGTAGCTAGGATTACAGGTATAAGCCACCAGTACAGGACTTTAAAACTGCTTTCTCAGAAAAGTAAAATTCAACTTTGTTTTAAGGACTTGGAAAAAATAAGTACATAAACAGCCTATTTTCTTCTCCCCACACTTAACCAACAGAGGCTTCATCCTTAATGTAACCAAACAAAAGATACTCTCTTAAAAAGGAGGTCCTGCCTGTAAGAACTGCCCCCCCACCGCAAGTAGATTTATGATGAGTTCTTTGAATAAATGATGACTCCAAGCACATTTACATTAAATACATTAACCTTTAACTCACCTTTGTTTTAATAGTATATTAAGGTCATATTTGAGATCTATTCATGGCTCAGAAAGAAAGCCCTATAGGCTGGGTATAATTCATATTAAAGGTTAAAGTGATTCATATTTCTTTCCCCATAGACTATAGCCAAACACAAGACTTTGTAGTAACAGTAGGAATGTATTTCTAATGAACAGAGTAGAAAGCATTTCTGTTCATACAAAAACGCAAACACATTTCTGAAAGAAGCTAGTCTATACAGCAGATTTTAAGCTTTCTTACATAGAGAAATGATCGGCATAGCAATGCACACACACACACACACACACCACTCATCCAGGCTGCAGCTAATTTATCACACACCTCTTATTCCCTGTCGTTGGCATCTTACATTAAATACTGGAGTTGAGCAAAACAAAATAACTGAATCCAAGCTGAATGGAAAGACAAGCCAAGTTGCTTTCTTTCATTTGCTGTCTGTTGGGTTTCCAATAAACCTGAGACCATGTTAAATATCAGTTACGAATACTCAAATATAATACATAATATACCAAAATCCTTTTTTAATTGAAAAAATATGTAAGAGGAAATCTTTACTTAACAGCTTATAAATTTTTATGGTGTAGGTGTTGCCCATCCTGTGTCATGAACTCAGGGCCTGGGCATTGTCCCTGGTTTTTTTTTTTGTTTTTTTTTTGCTGAAGGCTGGCACTCTGCCACCTGAGCCCCATCTCCATTTCCAGCTTTTGGATAGTTAATTGGAGATTAAAAAATCTCACAGACTTCTCTTCTGGGCTGGCTTCAAACCATTATTATTGTTGTTGTTGTTGTTGTTATTATTGTAGTTATAATCTCACTTCTCACTTCAGGGTATGCCTGGGACCTCAATTTTATGTTTCTAGTCTTTTAAAGTCTGCCCACCCACTCTAAGGAAGGTAGTTTTCCATTGGTAGATGCTGGCATGAGAGGGCTTCCAGGGGACCTATGTTCTGCCTACTGCCATTTCAATATGTATAACAAACACCATTAGAGGCCATACAAAATTATCAATGTAGGCAAACAGGCCAACAGCTGTTCCATCTTACACCAAATGATGTTGGACTTTACACAGCCTGAAGCCAGACATTCCCTACCCCAGGTATACATCGGAGAGTAGGAAGAGGATGGGGCCAGCTGTCCCTAGGTTCCTAACAGCAGTTCAAAAAACTCAGTGGATGGCACAATGATGTCAGATCTCTAGTTGTTCACATTCTCTGCCATCTTATTCTGAACCAGAGTTGGCCTCTTGATTCTCATGCTGGGATTGCTTTAAAATCATCTATCCACGCATGTCTGTAATCCTAGCTACTTTGAAGGGCTGAGATCTGAGGACTGAAGCTCAAGACCAATCTGGAAAGGAAATGCCATGAGACTCTTATCTCCAATATACCAGAAAACAAGTCAGAAGTGGAGCTTGGCTTAAGTGGTAGAGTACTAGCCTTGAGTAAAAACAGCTGAGGGACAGCACCTAGCTCTTGAATATCAAGCCCCAGGACCAGCACGGAAAAAATAATTTTTAAAAATAAAAAAATCCATCCAGGAGATGTTGGAGTTGGGAAGAGTAGCAACATGAGGGGTACAGGGAAGTATGATGGCCCAGAAGCTGTTACTTATTTGTCGAGATTCATTACATCAGTCTCTCTATTTTCGTGGATGTTTGAACATTTCTGTGTTAAAATAAACCACATTTTTCAAAGGCAAATCCTCTGAGCTGAGCTATTGTGGAGGAGAGAAAGCAGTTCCTGTGTTTTGTGCTCTCTCTTCGGGGTGCACTGGTTCCTCTCATGAGGGGCCAGGGTCCTCCACAAACAAATCAGCCTTTCTCTCTGTTTCCATTAATATTTAGTACATGTCATGATGTCCAACTCCAATCATTAAAAAAAAAAGAATGTTTTAAATAATTGATGAGGACAAACAGAGAAACCCATCATGCTGGATTTTCTCATCACCCATCAAAATGTGGGAGAACGCTTCCTCTGGGCCTGACACGGACACATCATTAATGCCAGCACCGACAAGACCACCCCACAAATCCATAGACACAGAGATGCCTGGGGTACTTTCAGAGGAGAAAACCCAGCCTCCTGTCACTGCCTGTCCCACAGACCATGGCTCAGAACCATGCCCAGCCATGCATCTATTCAGAGAACCAGTTGCACCTTGCTTCTTCCCCTAGATTTTGCAATCTCCAAAACACACAGAGGAGAGAAGAGTTCAGTGCAGTATGTGCTGAGGATGCGTGCACCGGATCATAGGCTCTAGAATGAGAGTACATCCACCAGAGAGGGCGCCAAAACAGAGCACAGGATACAAAACAGGATCTGAGGAAAATTTTCCCAAGAGAATTCTCAGAAATGCAATGGGCTGGGTGCTGGTGGCTCACGCCTGTCATCCTAGCTACTCAGGAGGCTGGGATCTGAGAATCGAGTTTCAAAGCCAGCCTGGGCAGGAAAGTCTGTGAGACTGTTCTCTCCAATGAACCATCACAAAACTGGAAGTGGTGCTGTAGCTTAAAGTGGTAGAGCTCTAACCTTGAGCAAAAGAGCTCAGGGACAGAACCGAGGCCCTGAGTTCAAGCCCCAGTACTGACAGAAAGAGAAAGACAGAGAGGGGGGTGGAGAGAGAGAAAAGGAGAGGGGGGGGAAGAAGGGGAGGGTTCACTGGCATAGGTCTGCAGAGACCATGACAATTTTTTTGAGACTGTCTTTGTGAGGCCACCTGAGATCTAGTGTCACTTTGTCACTTACCACAAGGGAGAGCGGTCTTTTCCATGAAACAACGCCAATGAGTCCTGACAGGAGCACCTGGAAGGAGAGAGTGGCAAGGAAGGTAAGATGTTGGGAAAGTCTGTGTGAGACCTCACCCCAACCCCAGCAAAGGGCGCGTGGGATCCACACCATGCAGGATCCGGACTCCAGTGATCATGCTTCTCCTCAGATAGCTGCTCACAGCCTGGAGTCACACTGAAAGTCAGTCTCTCAAATCACTGGGACCACCAGGGTGAGAGCAAGAGACTCTCTACCACAGAGACTAGTCAGGCTCCCGTAGCTCAGCTCATGCCTATAATCCTAGCTGCTCAGGAGACTTAGATCTGAGGATCTCAATTTGAAGCCAGCCTAGGTATGGAAAGTCCATGAAACTCTTATCTCCAATAAACTACAATTTAAAAAATAAAAAGCTGGAAGTAGAGCTGTGGCTCAAGTGGTAGAGCACTAGCCTTGAGCAGAAGCAGCTCAGGGATAGCTCCCAGGCCCTGAGTTCAAACCTGGAGACCAACACCCAAGGAAAAAGAAAGAAAAGAAAACAACTTAGAGTCCTGCTTTGAAATGCCTGGTTTGAGCTCTCGGCACTCAATTGCAGCCACCAGCAAGGCTTAGGCTTGGTGTTTGGATGGCTCTAGGATTCTGCAGGTGTGTAAGGAAAGGGATGGGAATCCAGTTAGCTGTGACATCACCCTGCCAGGAGACTTTTGGCCTATTTATCAATTTTGTCACTCAGAGTCTCCCGTTTACAAAGACTATGGGAGAAAGCAGAGGCTCAGGGAGAAATCACATAATAAAATCACTGAAAGAGAAGCCCAGGAGAATGATACCATGGAAGAGAGGGAGGAGATTTCTCTTTCTTTGTAAGAAAACCATCTCACCTTTTCCCCAACTCCACACCCAGCCTTGGAGAAGCAAAAGATAAAATTAGAAAAGTCAGAACTTCCTGCTGCAGAGGCCAGACACAGGCCTGGTAGAACTCAGGAAGAAATGGCACTGAGAGATAAAGGCTGATTCAGAGGCCTAGAAATAAATTAGCTCTATAAATCATGTCTCCACTGCCTCCTATCAAGAAATTTCTTCACAGCTGGGCCCTGGTGGCTCATGCCTGTAATCCTAGCTACTCAGGAAGCTGAGACCTGAGGATCCCAATTCCAAGCCAGCCTGGGCAAGAAAGTCCATGAGACTCTCATCTCCAATAAACTACAAAAAAAAAGCTGGAAGTGGCGCTGTGGTTCAAGTGGTAGCCTTGAGCAAAAGAAGCTCAGGGACAGTACCAGATCCTGAGTTCAAACCCCGGGACTGGCCAAAAAAAGCCAGGCGCTGGTGGCTTATACCTGTAACTCTAGCTACTCAAGAGGCTGAGATCTGAGGATTGAAGTTCAAAGCCAGCCCAGGCAGGAAAGTCCATGAGACTCTTATCTCCAATGAACCACCAGAAAACCAGAAGTGGTGCTGTGGCTCAAGTGGTAGAGCACTCACCTTGAGCTGAAGAGCTGAGGGACAGAACCCAAGCCCAGAGTTCAAGCCCCACGACTGACCAAAAAAAACAAATCTGGTTGGGTGTTACTGGGTCATGTCTATAATCCTAGCTACTCAGGAAGCTGACACTGAAGAATCTCCATACCCGTCCCCCCGCCCCACCGACACAGATTGAATAGTATTCTGAGCTGCCTGAATTGAAAGTTTACTGGACTCTGTCTTCTAGAACCTTCTAGATGCATCTCCTATCTGTGCATCCTCTCCTCCCCACTCCCCTGCCCCAGCCTCCATCTTTTCTTTCAGGGTGGCATGGTGAGGCTGGTTCAGGTATGCATGCATTCATCCTCTGTCCCTGCCTCTGGGAAGTCCGCTGGTCCTCAAACCTGCCTGCCTCCTCCCCTTGGAAGAATTCTCCTTGCACATTTCCCCTCTGTGAGCTCAAACTCCAGCACATGCACATACACACACAGTCCCATACTCATGACCCACCAACTTCAGACATAATAACACATTTGTTGTACTAATAGTAAATTAATACAATTACCTAATAAGATACAAAAAGCCAAGGGAACTGTTGGGGGGAAGGGAGGAAGGAAAGGAGGGAGGAAGGAAGGGAGATAAAAGGGAGAGAGGGATAGAGGAGAAAGGGAGATAGGAAAAAGGGAGGGAAAGAGGAAGGAAGGAAGGAGAGAGAGAAAGAGAGAGGGGGGAGGGAGGAAGGGAGGGAGGAAAGTGAGGGAAGGAAGGACCATAAGAGAATTCACTACATTATCTGTCTATAAAAATTAGTATATTAAGGTTATGGTGGCTCACCTATAATCCTAGCTACTCAGGAGGCTGAGATCTGAGGATGCAGTTCAAAACCAGCCAGGGCAGGAAAGTCCTTGAAACTGTTATTGCCAATTAACCACCAGAAAAAACCGGAAGTGGTGCCTTGAGTGAAAGAGCTCAGGGACAGTGCCCAGGCACTGAGTTCAAGCCTCACCACCACCAATAACAACAACAAAAATTAGTATATTGAAACATTACAGTAGTAGTTACATTTATTGAAGACTGACAGACACATACCAGAGGCTTTCATTTTCACTGACTCCCCTGAAAGGCATGTGTGATTCTTTCCCCCATGCACATAAGAGAAAACAGAAGCAAAAAGAGGTTAAGGGACTCTGTCCTCATGTTACCATGGTATGCAGGCTAAGACACCAGTGCCAAAATTCTACAAAAACAGCTTTCCTGTCCATGCTCAAGCAAAGACTGGTTAGAAACAGAATAAAATTAAAGATTCCATTTAGGAAAACAAGCAAAAAGTCAGCAAGACTTCAAAGAAACAAACCTAATAAGAGTTAACTAGCAAGCCTTAAACTTGCATGAAGGAACACAAAAATTTTCATTATTAGATGAGGGGGAAAGCATCCATTTTTAAAACAAAAGGACTAAATAATGTATAATTTCCGTGCAGCCCTGATTAAAGTACTTGAAAGGCATAAAGGAAATCTATGTAATAAAATGTGAACTAGCTAATCACTTAAAAGAAATAAAAGTTGCACTGGTGCTCTCACCTGTAATCCTAGCTACTCAAGGGCTGAGATATGAGGATCACAGTTCGGAGCCAGTCCAGACAGAAGCTTCCATGAGACAGTTTCTAATTATCTGCCAAAAAAAGCCAGAAGTGGAAGTATGGCTCAAGTGGCAGAGCACAATCTTTGAGCCATAAAGCCGAAGGTGAGTTTGAGGTCCTAAATTCAAGTGCCAGTATTGGCACAATTAAGAAAAGAAAAAGAAGGAAAGAGAAGGGAAGGGGGGGAGGGAAGGGAAAAGGGTTAAGGAAAGGGAAAATGGAAAAAGGAAAAGGGAAAGGGGAAGGGGAAGGGAAAAGGGAAAGGAAGGGAAGGGAAAAGAAGGGAAGGACAGGGAAGGGAAGAGAAAAAGAAAGGGAAGGGAAGGTGTAGGTGGTAATCTTGCCGTTTGGAGAAAGAATATTATCTAACCCATTTGCAAACAGTTTTCATTCTCTGCTTCTAGAAGCTTCCTGTTCCTTTGCACCACACTAAAACAATGTATTTGTTGATACAGAACATTAATTCCATTAAAATCACATTATGTGTAATGAAAAGCTATCAGAGTATAATTATGCAAGCAGATTCACAGAACCCACAGCAACTTTTAAATCCACTGGAATTAACAACAGGAATAGAACCTGTCAGGGATAAAAATTGCTACATCATTTCCAAAGCCTGATGAATGAAAACCCTCCATACTCGTGTTATGAATGACGTAGTGTATGTATGCCAAACTCCAAAGCCAGAACTATTCTCTCAAGGATTCTCTACCTGCACTTTTGGGGAAGGGGGCGGGGACAATGTGAGCTGCACCCCCTAGAATACCCTAAAGCCTGAGCTCTTCTTGGAATTCTATCCCTGCACCGCAGTGCTGGGTCTAAAGTTCTCCAGTTCACACTCTTGAAGCTGTTTACCATATTGGAGCTCTGCAGAGTGGCCCAGGCTAGCCACATTGTCTTCTCTTGCCTGACCTCTGACCTCTGACCTCATATTGCACCCTCTAGGTGGAGCAGGTCTTCTGTCCTCCAGCCTATGATAGGAGGTGGAGGGCCAAGAGGGCAGGGCAGGAAGAAGCAGGGGACTGAGCTCTTGCCAGAGGAGGCAAGAAGGAACTGCAAATAGCATCACCTGCACTGAAAGCCCAGGTTGAAATGACACACTCTGGGACCTTCTCCCCTTTCTGCTAAGGGGGAACCCAGAATCCTGTGATACACACACCTTTACCCTCCAGCTGTGTTGTCCCAGACCTGTGCCTGGTACCTCCCATGTCTGGTGAGCAATGACTTCTGGTTGGGCTCCTGAGTCAAGGAAGTTTGTTCAGTTTCCATTAGATGGACTTCAATCCACCTCTGCTTCTTGTACTCCAGCTTCCTGTATCCCAGCTTCCTGCTTCCTGTATTCCAATGTCTCAATGGCCAGCCTCCTTCCCCTGTACCTCTGCACTCCTCCTTAGAAGGTACCTCTGCCTGCCCATCTCCCCCACTGCCTCCTTCTCCTCTCTACACAAGGCTGTTCTTCCAGAGCCCATTGTGCCCAAGGCTCCAGCTTCTCAGAGTTTAAATCCATCTGGCCTAGTAGATGCCTTCTCCCATCCACTGATGGAAATAATTGTTCTTCACAATTTGCAAAGTCCAATTGTTCTCTTAGAGTGACAATCATGTTGGCTGTTTCTACTATTTATGTCTCTCTGAAATTGACACTGACTTCTGCCTATAAAACTTGAGGCTTCTGGCTTTCCCAATGTACACCCATGTGTTTACACATATACACACTCTCACACCAACACATAGACACTTTCTTCCATTCACTTTGCCAATCCAAGTAACCTTTTGTTGCTCTGGCAATCACCGCTGGCATTACAAACTAAATAAATATCGTCCCTAACTGAGCCACAAGGATTATAATTGCAGTGCCCTTTTAAAATCACATTACCGTATTTAATTGGAGTTAATTGCCCATTTGTCATTTTTATATGCCTGCCAAAAGTTCATCCCAAGCTCT